ATAACTTCTCAACCTCTTCCAGTACTGGTGATCTCATTTTTGTCAGCATAGTTACTCCCTTTGCAACAACAGCATCCTTTATTTCCTTTTTCTTGGCCACTATGGAACATAAGGTTGTGTAGGGTTTCTTATACATCCTGGACAGTTCGGCCACACTTGTACCACTTTCATATTGTTCAATGATGGTTTTCTTAAATTCAATCGTATTTCTCACCTTCTTTACCACAGGCTTGGCACTAGGAGCTTTCTTTGAAGCCATGGTAGCTTATTTAGTACTTGCAAGCACTAAAATAAATGGAATATTATGAAATATTTCACTGGAGCACGTGAGGGGACCTTCGCTCACTGGTAAACAATGCTAGACTGGCTGCCGCCCTGGCTCACGCCGTGCATACGCGTCCCGGACGAACTATGACTTGTGAGTCAACCTATGAAAAGCGAGTCCATGTTTATACGAAAATACCCCTATGATTGGCGAATTTTACGATTGCCGGGAACTGCGAAAAGCGGGGGACCACTGTACAGTGGACCCCCGCATACCGTTGGCCTTACATAACGTTAAATCCACATACCGATACATTTTATCGCTAAGATTTTGCCTCGCATACCGCTAAAAAACCCGCTCAACGCTGTTCGTCTGAGACACGTCTATGTGAGGCCTGAGCCAGCCTCACATGTTCCACCGGTGGCATTGTTTACAAGCCAGCCTCCGCGGTAACATCCAAGCATACAGTCGTAACATTTCGTATTATTACAGTGTTTTTGGTGATTTTATCTGCAAAATAAGTGACCATGGGCCCCAAGAAAGCTTCTAGTGCCAACCCTGTGGTAAAAAGGGTGAGAAATATTATCGAAATACTGTGGTACCATGGTCAACTGCTGATGCTGCTGCTGCTGCTGCTGCTGTAGCACTGTCAGCTGCTGCTGCTGCTGTAGCACCATCAGCTGCTGCTGCTGCTGCTGTACCACCTTCAGCTGCTGCTGCTGCTGTACCACCGTCAGCTGCTGCTGCTGCTGTACCACCGTCAGCTGCTGCTGCTGTTGTAGTACCGTCTGCTGCTGCTGTAGCATTGTCTGCTGCTGCTGTAGCACTGTCAGCTGCTGGTGCTGCTGTAGCACTGTCAGCTGCTGCTGCTGTACCACCGTCAGCTGCTGCTGCTGTAGTACCGTCTGCTGCTGCTGCTGCTGTAGTACTGTCTGCTGCTGCTGTAGCATCGTCTGCTGCTGCTGTAGCATCGTCTGCTGCTGCTGTAGCACTGTCAGCTGCTGCTGCTGCTGCTGTAGCACTGTCAGCTGCTGCTGCTGCTGCTGTAGCACTGTCAGCTGCTGCTGCTGCTGCTGTAGCACCGTTGTTGGTGTGGCTTATTGAGAATACAAAGAAACAATTAACCCCAGAGGGTTAGCCACCCAGGATAACCCAAAAAAGTGTGTCATCGAAGACTGTCTAACTTATTTCCATTGGGGTCCTTAATCTTGTGTCCCGGGATGCAACCCACACCAGTCGACTAACACCCAGGTGAACAGGGAAAAACGCCTGGAACAAGTGCTCATATTGGTGAATTTAAAGCCAGCAAAGGTTGGTTTGAGAGATTTAAGAATCACTGTTGCTGGATCAGTCAGCTGTTGCTAGATCAGTCAGCTGTTGCTGGATCAGTCAGCTGTTGCTGGATCAGTCAGATGTTGCTGGACCAGTCAGCTGTTGCTGGATCAGTCAGCTGTTGCTGGATCAGTCAGCTGTTGCTGGATCAGTCAGCTGTTGCTGGATCAGTCAGCTGTTGCTGGACCAGTCAACTGTTGCTGGACCAGTCAGCTGTTGCTGGACCAGTCAGCTGCTGCTGCACCACGGTCAGCTGCTGTTGCACCATCAGCTGTCTTTGAACATGACTCGTCCCAAACCTGTCCCGAACCTGTCCGTCCAGCCTGAGCGTCTGCCTTGCCGTCATTGTTTACAAGCCAGGGTGGCTGGCTGCATGCATACATTCGATACATTTTGTATTATTCCATTATTTATAGTGCTTGTAACTGCTAAATAAGCCACCATGGGCCCAAAGAAAGCTTCTAGTGCCAACCCTGTGGTAATAAATACTATCGTACCACAGTCAGCTGCTGCTGCACCTCAGCTGCTGCTGCACCACAGCTGCAGCTGCACCATGGTCGGCTGCTGCTGCACCATGGTCAGCTGCACCACAGCTGTTATTGTTGCTGCACCACCATCAGCTGTATTACTCGAAGATGTGGAGAGAGTGTTGTTGGTGTGGCTTAACATGAAACAATTACCGAGAAACAATTAACCCCGGAGGGTTAGCCACCCAGGATAACCCAAGAAAGTCAGTGCATCATCGAGGACTCTAACTTATTTCCATTGGGGTCCTTAATCTTGTCTCCCAGGATGCAACCCACACCAGTCGACTAACACCCAGATGAACAGGGAAAAATGCCTGGAACTAGTGCTCATATTGGTGAATTTAAAGCCAGCAAAGGTTGGTTTGAGAGATTTAAGAATCGTAATGACATACACAGTGTGATAAGGCCTGTTCTGGAAGAAAATGCCAAACAGGACCTACAGTACTCAGGAGGAAAAGGCACTCCCAGGACACAGTGTCTCATCAGTCATTGCTGCATCTTCAATAAAGGTAAGTGTCATTTATTCTTCATTTAGTAGAGTAGTACATGCACAATATATACTGTGCATGTACTACTCTACTACAGTGGACCCCCGGTTAACGATTTTAATCCGTGCAAGAGGGGTAATTGTTATGCGAAATAATCGTTATGTGAATGAATTTTCCCCATAAGAAATAATGGAAATAAAATTAATCCGTGCAAGACACCAAAAGTATGAAAAAAAAAATTTTACCACATGAAATATACATTTTCCCACACACAAAGAGAAGGATACATGCACAATAGTAGAGTAGTACATGCACAGTATATATTGTGCATGTACTACTCTACTAAATGAAGAATAAATGACACTTACCTTTATTGAAGATGCAGCAATGACTGATGAGACACTGTGTCCTGGGAGTGCCTTTTCCTCCTGAGTACTGTAGGTCCTGTTTGGCATTTTCTTCCAGAACAGGCCTTATCACACTGTGTATGCCACTACGATTCTTAAATCTCTCAAACCAACCTTTGCTGGCTTTAAATTCACAATATGAGCACTAGTTCCAGGCATTTTTCCCTGTTCACCTGGGTGTTAGTCGACTGGTGTGGGTTGCATCCTGGGAGACAAGATTAAGGACCCCAATGGAAATAAGTTAGACAGTCTTCAATGACACTGACTTTTTTGGGTTATCCTGGGTGGCAAATCCTCTGGGGTTAATTGTTTCTTGGTATTCTCAATAAGCCACACCAACAACGGTGCTACAGCAGCAGCAGCAGCTGACGGTGGTACAGCAGCAACAGACGGTGGTACAGCAGCAACAATGCTACAGCAGCAGCAGACGATGCTACAGCAGCAGCAGCAGCAGACGATGCTACAGCAGCAGCAGCAGCAGCAATGCTACAGCTGCAGCAGACGATGCTACAGCAGCAGCAGACGATGCTACAGCAGCAGCAGCAGCAGCAGACAATGCTACAGCAGCAGCAGACGATGCTACAGCAGCAGCAGACGATGCTACAGCAGCAGCAGCAGCAGACGATGCTACAGCAGCAGCAGCAGCAGCAGACAATGCTACAGCAGCAGCAGACGATGCTACAGCAGCAGCAGCAGCAGCAGACGATGCTACAGCAGCAGCAGCAGCTGACAGTGCAGCAGCAGCAGCAGCTGTACCACCAATAGTAGCGATACTTATCAATGATCTTTTTCTTCTTCTCTATTGTAATTCTCACCCTTATTGCTGTAGGGTTGGCACTAGAAGCTTTCTTGGGGCCCATGGTCACTTATTTTCCAGAAAAAGCACCGAAAACACTGTAATAATACGAAATATTCCGATTGTATGCTTGGATGTTACCGCGGAGGCTGGCTGGTAAACAATGCCACCGGCGGAACATGTGAGCGTGGCTCAGGCCGCACATTGGACGCGTCTCGGAGGAAAATCGGTAAGCGGGTTTTTAAGCGGTATGTGAGGCAAAATTTTTGCAATTAAAGTAAGCGGTATGCGAAATAATCGCTATGTGATGCCATCGTTATGTGGGGGTCCACTGTATTGTGCATGTATCCTTCTCTTTGTGTGTAGGAAAATGTATATTTCATGTGGTAAAATTTTTTTTTTCATACTTTTGGGTGTCTTGCATGGATTAATTTGATTTCCATTATTTCTTATGGGGAAAATTCATTCGCATAACGATAATTTCGCATAACAATGAGCTCTCAAGAACGGATTAATATCGTTATGCGGGGGTCCACTGTATATTAGAGAGCCTGTTTTAAGTCCAAGTCGTTGGTAAATGGGTACGTCGCTAAGTGAGGAGAGGGTGTAATAATAATAATATCTTTATTTCTGCAAGTACAGTGGACCCCCGGTTAACGATATTTTTTCATTCCAGAAGTATGTTCAGGTGCCAGTACTGACCGAATTTGTTCCCATAAGAAATATTGTGAAGTAGATTAGTCCATTTCAGACCCCCAAACATACACGTACAAACGCACTTACATAAATACACTTACATAATTGGTCGCATTCGGAGGTAATCGTTATGCGGGGGTCCACTGTACATGTACAAGATATACAGGCCTGACTGACATCAGTGACATACTATATAGAAAGCCCCTTGTTATACATAGCATTTCATGCAAATTAGGTCAGTTTTTGTTTCAGGATGCGACCCACACCAGTCGACTAAAACCCATGTTCCCATTTTACTGATGGGGAACATAGACAACCGGTTTAAGGAAACACACCCAGTGTTTCTACCCTTGCCAGGAATCGAACCTTAACCCTCACTGTGTGAAGTGAGAACTTTAGCCACCAGGCCATGGAGGGTTTTGTGTGTCTGTTAAAGAGTCAGAAATGTGTTCATGTTCTCAAGTCTTAGTGGAAAACACATCTTTTTCAGAGTTTATGAGCCTGAAGATCATATTGTCACACTTGAATATAAACTTTAGTATTTCTTCGTTATTGTTGCATTTAGGGATTGGTGCATGAGTGTTTGTGAATTCATTGAGAGAACGGACAAGAGTAACAAAATCTAAAATTATTATCATCATTATATTATTCAGGTAAACATGATTTATTGAACCATATTAGATGCTATGCAGATATAAAATATGCATTTAATATCAAAATTGCATCCAAAATTTATTTTATACTGTACTTAAGATATTCAAGAGAGACCATACTCTTAAATTTTCTTCTTTACAGGGGTCTAAATGACTTCCGCAAAAGTAAATCAAGCCAGAAACATGAGAGCTCACTTGGAAGATAAACCGTATCATTGTTTACTATGCCAAAAGAAATATTCTCACAAATATACTCTAGCAAAACATATGGCATGGCATGCAGGAGTGAAACCATTTCGGTGTTTGAAGTGTTTGAAAAGATTTTCACAGAAATCTTGTTTAGTAATACATGAGAGGGTTCATACAGGAGAGAAGCCATACCAGTGTTCTCAGTGTCTAAAAAACTTTTCACAAAAAGCTAATCTGCAGAGACATATGAAAGTTCATACAGGAGAGAAATTATATCATTGCACTGAATGTCCTAAATCTTTTACACAAAAAATTGCATTAGTAAAGCATACGAGAATTCATACAGGAGAGAAACCTTATCAGTGTTCAGAATGCTTAAAGGATTTTAAACACAAGTCACAAGTAGAGGATCATATGAGGGTTCATTCTGGAGAGAAACCATATCAATGTTTGGAATGTTTAAAACACTTTTCTTTCAAATCAAATTTAACAGTACACATGAGAGTGCATTCAGGAGAGAAACCATTTGACTGTTCAGAGTGTTTACAAAAATTTGCTCAAAAATCTGATCTTGCAAAGCATTTGAGGGTTCATAGAGGTGAAAGACCTTATCAGTGCTCCGAGTGTCAAAAAAGTTTTGCACTGAAATCAAATTTAATTACACATATGAGAATTCATTCAGGAGAGAAACCTTATCAGTGTTCAGAATGTCTAACTAAATTTGCACAAAAATCTGATCTTGTAAGACATATCAGATTTCATACGGGGGAAAAACCATATCAGTGTTCTGAGTGTCAAAAAAAATTTAAAGAAAAATCAACTTTAGTACAACATTTTAGAGTTCATACAGGAGAAAAACCATTTCGGTGCTCTAGGTGTTTAAAAGCATTCTCCTGCAAATCGACTTTGGTGAAGCATATGAAAATTCATCAAGAAGAAAAGCCATATTGATGTTTTGATGATCGACATGTTGTGATCTGTGGTGTATAGTCACATCTGCAGTTTCCCACAAAGGTAGGGTGTGTTATGGGTCTCCATTCTTCTAGGCATGCTATGTTGCTGTTAGTAGTAGCATTATGAAATATTCAAAAGAGAAGACATTAACCCTTAAACTGTCCAAACATAGATCTATGTTTTTTTCAACATTTGAAAACATGTAAAAAAACTTTGATCTACTTTTTTTTTTTGTTATATTTGAAAATATGTAAAAAAAAGTAGGTATACTTTTGGAGCACTACGCATGTGAACGTAGATCTGCTTGGACAGTTTAAGGGTTAAGGGAGGGGTGAGCGAAATCACCATTTTTTTTTTTTTTTTTTTTTCAGGTTTCAATGAGATTTTGACAGTGGATTAAGCAGCATAAAAAATGTGCTGACTGTGTTTGTTTTGACTATTAGCCTTCAAGTTAGATAGAAAAAATAAATTATGCACAATTTTATGGGTCATAAGTCTTTCTTAATTCTACTAAATTAGGAAGATGTACAATGCTTTAGTTGACATCAGATGAAAGATAAAGGCTAGATTATTGTTGACCCAGGGTCTTTCAGTGATTATCTCAGTAGATTCCATTAAAAAAAAATGTTGAGGTAAGTTTTTTTGGGGGGGGGGGGGGGGGGAAATCAATAATCCTTTCCGGGTCAACAGGGTTGGCTAAATTTCAAAAAAAAAAAAAAAAAAAGTTTCTTATGAAAAAATAGAGTTTATTTTACTGAACATTATAGGCTGAACAAAAAAATTTTACCATCAATACTTACCGAGATATGGAGGCGTGAAGTTGATGAAAAAGGGGCACCATGTGGCAGCATCGCCGACTGCCATCACCCGGTATTTTTTATTTACTTTCTTATGTACTAATTTCTATTATTTTTAAATTTTTCTTTTTCCAAGTAACTTTTATGGCCTGTGAGACCAGTATGATCAGTATTTTGTAAGTTATTTCTTTTTCAATACTACACAATAAGGGTGTAAACACTGTTGTCATTGTTTTGTTTACAAAAAAATATTTGCACAAACAAATAAATAGAAATTTTGTTTATTACTATTTTCTATGTTTTATATACACATATACAGTCACAGGGAATGTTTCTAGAAGTTCTGCAGCCTGTGGAAGTCTTTGAAACATGGTGTCATGCACAGTGGTGTTTTACATTCTTCACACATAAAACGAGTGTCTCTGCATTGTTGTGGGCGTTTTCTTGTATGTGCACAGACGTAACACCTCTTTTGAGCCTTCTTCTTGAAAGCAGTAGCAGGCAGTTTTATCAGGAAGTGATCACCATGCATCAAACGAGAAGGAAGTTGTTGAAAATTTAGTGGGCGGTCTATTGCAGGTGCTGTTCCTTGGTACTTGAATACTACAGTATTTATCTGATGACAGACAAACAGAATTCGCTGTATGGTGGTTTGTTTCTGGTCCTCGTTTTATACATATTATAAGCATTCAGCATGGAAATGTCCAGAAGATGGAAAAAGAGTTTTATGTACCACTTATAACTCTTGCGAACACAATCAACAAACCCAATCTGCATGTCACATTTGTCCACTGAATGCATATTGAGGTTGTAGTCCATCACAGCTGCAGGTTTTAGAATGGGTTCATTGCTTTCTCTATGCTGCCTGCCAGTGTCTGCCATTTCATTAGGGTGAACTGATGACAACAGCGTGACATCTCGTTTGTCATGCCACCGATGTCATTGGCAGCAAACGCCTGCACCTCACCTCTACGAGTGCCAGCGTCAAACCTGGGCATATGTTTCCGATTTGCATGCACTGTGCCACACACATCTGTCATGTTCACTCGCAAAAAATCACTGAGTGTGGGGCTTGTGTACCAGTTATCTGTATATAATATATGCCCCTTACCAAGGTATGATTCCATCATTGTTCTAACCACATCACCAGAGATGCCCAATAACTTCCTGGTATTTTGCAATGTATAACTTCCAGTGTACACAATAATATCCAATACCAGACCGCTGTAACAATCACAAAGCACAAACAACTTTATACCAAAGCGTTTCCTCTTGCTTGGTATGTACTGCTTGAAAGAGAGTCTTCCTTTGAACAGAATCAAAGACTCGTCAATTACAAGCTTCCTGAAGGGATAAAAATACATATTGAATTTCTCTTTCAGATACACAAACACATGCCTAATCTTATATAACCTGTCGTTTCTGTCAGGCCTGGTTTTGCAATCAGGCGGTCTGTTGACCAGTATGATTTCACACTGTGCTTATACACATGTGGCATAAGCATTATTGTGGCAAAGAAAAGATGCATCTCAGCCACAGTTGTCTCCTTCCACTGGTGTAGACGTAATTTTGGTGAAAGTATTGTGTTTGCCATGGTGTACTTGTAGTATGTGTTGCTTTCCATGACAATACTTTCCATCAGGGGTTCGTCAAAGAATAACTCGAAACATTCCAGTTCACTGGCATTGTTCCCAAGTGTACAGGATGGCCGTATTCCACTTTGGCTGTCATCAAACTGGTGGGGATTTGGAACAAAATTGACAGCTTCCTGCCAATCCCAGGTGTGGTCTGCTGGTGGGTACTGGACATTGGCAGGTGGTTGTGGTTGTGGAGGTTGTGGTTGTGGAGGCTGGTGTGGTGGGTGGGTGGGGGATGGTGGCCTTTGTTGTAGATCAGCTGAGGCAGCGGCGTGGGTGGCACTGTGGGTGGCAGCATGGCCCACTGCTGGTGCCTCACGACCGGCACCACCACTACCACCACCATGCACATTTTCCATCCCAATTGCAACACTATCATCGTCATTTTCACTGTCTGTTCCTGTTGTACAGCCATGGGATGTACTCTGAGATGTACTCCTTCCCCTTGGAATAGCATATGGCACACTACCAGAGCACATATATTGTCGTATATACTGACGCTTCACTGGGGAATATTGCACTTCACTATCACTACTGGAACTAGTTTGAAGAGCTTGTAGTTCATATTCACTATCACTATCATCACAAATGCTCACATCTGAGTCTGGGATTTGGGAAAATAGGAGTTTCTTCTTTGATTCTGGTACAACTGAACATGAACAAGACGGCCCAGCACCAGAGGTGGAAGGCTGAGGGCCGTCTGGGTTTTCCTCACTATTACCGATGTTATGGTCATTAGTTCCGGTCAAAACCTCACCAAAACCTTGAAACTCATCTTCACTGGCACTTCCATCTGTATTAGAACTGTCACTGGGAAACAAAAGTGTCCCAGTTCGCCAAGGAGTGAGGAACTTCTTACCGCGAGGCATGGTGGACATTGTTTACAAAGATGGTGTTCCCACAATGCACCACTGGGTCTCAGATTTTTTTTCCTCCTGCGCACACCCACCACACAGACCCATTCTCTCACATCTAGGCCTACCAGCCTTTTCCCGCGAGATTTGACGGCGCTAGAATTTATGCGTACTAGTATGTCAAAAACCCCTGCGCGTAAACCATACAAGTACTGCCGAAACCCTGAAAGGGTTAAAAGCAAAGCTGTAAACAATATCACAAATCCCTCCTGGGTGTTTGTAGAACCATCATTCCTCAATTATATGTGCAAAAATGTGACAATCCTATAAATACTTATTGCAGAAACAGGAAAACAGTGTCAGTAACTTATTTCTGTGTTTTTTCTTTTTTGTTTGGTGTGAAACTCTACAGTTATGAGACATGCCAAATCTGAGCATGTTGCACTCCTTCATTGTTGACAGTCTGCAGGCTACTAAGGGAGACACTCATCATGTTTTACACTTTAGCCAGCACAAAAGTTGCTATGTAGAGTACAGTGGACCCCCGGTTAACGATTTTAATCCGTGCAAGAGGGATAATTGTTATGCGAAATAATCGTTATGCGAATGAATTTTCCCCATAAGAAATAATGGAAATAAAATTAATCCGTGCAAGACGCCCAAAAGTATGAAAAAAATTTTTTTTTACCACATGAAATGTTAATTTTAATACACACAAACTGAAAAAGGCATGCACAATTACATGACACTTACTTTTATTGAAGATCTGGTGATGATTGATGGGATGGGAGGAGGGGAGAGCATTATCTTCTTACTGTTTAGAAGGGGAATCCCCTTCCATTACGACTTGAGGTAGCAAGTCCTTTTCCGGGGTTACTTCCCTTCTTCTTTTAATGCCACTAGGACCAGCTTGAGAGTCACTGGACCTCTGTCGCACAACAAATCTGTCCATAGAGCTCTGTACCTCCCGTTCCTTTACGATTTGTCTAAAATGGGCCACAACATTGTCATTGAAATAGTCACCAGCACGGCTTGCAACAGCTGTGTCAGGGTGATTTTCATCTATAAAGGTTTGCAGTTCAACCCACTGTGCACACATTTCCTTAATCTTAATCTTTGAAGTAGGCACAATGGATTCCACAACTGGCATAGGCTTCTCAGGGTTAGCCCCAAACCCTTCAAAATCTTTCTTAATTTCCATACTAATTCTCACCCTTTTTACCACAGGGTTGGCACTAGAAGCTTTCTTGGGGCCCATGGTCACTTATTTTCCAGAAACAGCACCGAAAACACTGTAATAATACGAAATATTCCGAGTGTATGCTTGGATGTTACCGCGGAGGCTGGCTGGTAAACAATGGGACGGGCGGCACATGTGAGGGCACATTGGACGCGTCTCGGACGAAAATCGGTGAGCGGGTTTTTAATCGGTATGTGCGGCAAAAATTTTGCGATAAAAGTAAGCGGTATGCGGAAAAATCGCTATGTGATGCCATCGTTATGCGGGGGTCCACTGTATTTAGAATAAAACTATCATAAAAATTGCAATTTTTGGTGGAAAACAGAACACTAATTGCCAACATGTATTTTTGATGACAGCAAGAACAAAAAAAAAAAACATTTAATGAAAAGCATACTTAGAAATATGATAGAAACAAGCTGATTACATCAAAATGTTGCCAGAATTTTGCACCATTTTTCAGTAAGAAAACATTTTTTCCATAATTTTTCAATCTTAATTTCCTGATCACTGAAAAATGGCTCGCCCCTCCCTTAACCCTTTCAGGGTCCGTGCCATAGATCTATGGCTATACGTTGAGGGTCCAAACCGTAGATCTATGCCAAAATTCAAGCAGCATCAAATTTAGCACGAGAAAGCTAGTAGGCCTACATCTGAGAGAACTGGTCTGCTTGGTGTGTGCGCGCCGTAAACAAAAATTCTAGGTGCCCGCATGGCATTGTGGGAATGCCGCCTCAGTTACTTTTGTTCACCATGCCTCGTCGCAAGGCAGCTCTCACTCCATGGTGAATTGGGACTCTCCTCTTCCTATCTGATAGTTCTGACTCTGATGGAAGTGGAAATAAAGATGAATTCTATGGCTTTGATCAATTAATGACTGAAAGGAATGACCAGGATATCGAAAATAGTGCAGAAAATGCTGACGATCCTCAACCTTCTACCTCTGGTGTGGGCACGTCTCAGTCACGTTCAGTTGTACCTCGTCGCAAGAGAAAACTAATATTTTCGCATGGCCAGGCCTCAGACTTCAGTAATGATGATGATAGTGATATGGATTGTGATTTTATTGCTCTTGACGATCATTCAAGTAGTGATAGGGAGGAATCATATTCACCAGTGAAGCGTCGGTATATATGCCGCCGCATGCGCTCAGGGAGTGTTTCCTGTGCAGTGCCCAGGGGACGGAGTACATCCCATGGCCCTATCCAGGAATAGACAGCGAAAGTGAGGATGATGTGGCTACACTTGGCATGGATAGACCACAGGCATCAGTAGGTGGTGGTAGTGGTGATGGTAGTGCCACAGCCATGCATGACTCACCAGCCCAGGCTGGGACCCACGCTGCTGACTCCTCAGCTCAAGGACAAAGCGGAGCATCAGCCACCACCCCACCACAACCACAACTACCAGCACAACCAGCTTATGATGTCCAGTATCCACCAGTAAACCACATCTGGGATTGGCAGCAAAATCCCAATTTTGTTCCCAAGTCCCACCAGTTTGATGACTCTCAAAGTGGAATTCTACCAACTTGTTCCCTTGGAAACACTGCAAATGAACTGGAATTCTTTGAACTATTCTTTGACCAGCCCTTGATGGAAACTATTGTCAGGGAAAGTAACAAGTATTTTGTGTACACCATGGCAAATATGATGATATCACTACAGTCAAGACTACACCGGTGGAAAGAGACAACTGTTGCTGAAATGTATTTGCTTTTTGCAACAATAATGCTTATGCCTCATGTCTATAAGCATAATATAAAATCATACTGATCCACAGATCGGCTAATTTGTACCCCGGCCTTCAGTGAAATCATCCCAGTGAACAGGTTTATCTTACTGTTACGTATGTTTCACTTCTCTGACAAAACGAGGCCTGACAGAAGTGACAGGTTATACAAGATTTGAAATGTTTTTATGTATCTGAAACAAAAGTTCAACATGTACTTTCATCCATTCAAGAATCTTGTAATTGACGAGTCTTTGATTTTGTTTAAAGGTAGGCTGTCATTCAAGCAGTATATACCGAGCAAGAGGAAATGCTTTGGTATAAAACTGTTTGTATTCTGTGACTGTGACAGTGGCCTGGTATTGGATATTATTGTAGGCACGGGAAGTAAACCATTGAAAGATACCAGGATGTTATTGGGTATCTCAGGTGACGTAGTGAGAAACATGATGGCACCTTATCTTGGTAAGGGGCATACATTATATACTGATAACTGGTACACAAGCCCCTTACTTAGTGATTTCTTGTGAGTGAACATGACAGATATGTGTGGCACAGTGCGTTCTAATCATAAACATATGCCCATTTTCAATGCAGGCACTCGTAGTGGTGAGGTGCAGGTGTTTACTGCCAATGACATCATGGGATTACAGTGGCATGACAAACGAGACGTCACATTGTTGACAATCATTCACCCTAACAAAATGCAAGACAGTGGCAAAGTTGGCAGAGTAACTAATGAACGTATTCGAAAACCAGTGACAGTGATTGACTATACACAAAACATGCGTTTGATTGACAAATGTGACATGCAAATAAGCTTTGTTGATTGTGTTCGTAAGAGTTACAAGTGGTACATGAAACTTTTCTTCTATCTCATGGACATTTCAATGCTCAATGCATATAATATGTACCAAATAAAGACCGGCAACAGACCACCATATGGTGAATTTTGTTTGTTGTCAGAAAACTCACAATGAAGTACCAGGTAACAATACCTGCTATACAAAACCATCCTCAAACTCCTCAGGAAATACCCAAGCGTTTGAGGAGTGAAGGTGATCACTTCATAATACAGCTTCCTGCAACTAAGAAGAAATTTGCTCAGAAGAGATGTGTTGTCTGTGCACAAACAAAACAACGGCAACAAAGATGCAAAGACACTCGCTTTATGTGTGAAGAATGTAAGGTACCTCTGTGCATGATACCTTGCTTCAAGGACTTCCACAAGCTGCAGCAGTTCTAAAAACATGTCCAGTGACTGTACATATGTAAATATATAATAGAACACTAGTATTATACAAGATTTGTGTATGTTTATCATAGTAAACAATAGTGGTAAACAAAATTATAATAATAACTTTAGTGCAGTTATTGTGTTCAATACAGTGAGTGTATATATATACATTATATACATTATTGGTCTCACAGGCCACAAATGTTACTAGAAAAAGAGAAAAATTAGAAAAGAAAAGAAAAAAGTATAAAAATCGTAAAATAAAGAAATGCGATTTTGTGGAAATCGCTGATGTTGCCGCCACCCAGTCATTTTGGGTCAACTTCTCACCTCTGTATCTCAGTAAGTACTGATCAGAATTTTTGTTTTTTGTTTTATTACCTTCACAAAAATATAATCTTTAAATCTGTATGATTTTTTTTTTTTTCTTCAAAATTTCTTGGACACTGGGGGCACCACTTCAGATTTTGCCTTTGGAGCCTGAAAGGGTTAAACTAGTACAGTGGAACCTTGGTTGTCAACTGCATTACTTGTCAAACAAATCTGTTTTTAAACAAGGAATTCAAGAAAAAATGTCCAAGTTTTGGTATGGTCTCTTGGTTGTTGACCAACAACACAAATGCCTCGGGTCACATGCTTACTAACTTATATGATGTAAACATCTCTCGAGTTTTTGTTGTACATCTTGTGAATTTCTTTTGTTATTTTGCAGTTTTGATGCAGTTTTTTTATTGTGAGATAAGCCATCATGGGTCCAAAGAAGGACCATTTCAGTATCCTCACCTGCTTGAGGTTTATAGACAAAGCCTGGACCATGCAGGACCATGCAGTCATCATGGAAAAAATTCTGGCCTGACTTTGTGGCGGCCAGGAATTTTGAAGGCCTTGAAGATGAGCCAGAGCTGGTAGAGAATATTGTGTCCCTGGGGAAGATCTTGGGCCTGGAGGTGACTGAAGATGATGTGGAGTTGATGGAGGAGCATAGAACTGAACTCCCCACAGAAGAACTTATAGACCTTCTGTTGCTCCTCCACAGCAACAGATTACAGCAGAGGAGCTATCTTCAGTGGAAGAGAAGGGAAGGGATAATGTGCCCATTGCACTTATCAAGGAAGTGTGTGCTGAATGGCATCAAGTAGAGGAGTTTTTGTTGAAAAATATCATCCAGACAAAACAGTGGCCATGTCTCTAACATGTACAATGACAGTGTAATGTTTCAATTTAGGCAAGTGTTAAAAGAGCCTGAAACAAACTTCAGTGAACAAATTTTTTAGTGAGGGAATGAACCAGTGAGCCAGAACAAGGTGTTTGTGGTGAAAAGAGACAAAGAAGAGAATACCAGGACAGTTGCCTGACATGTTAACCCTTTTACTGCCGAGACCCTTGCTCATAAACTTGCTATCAGTGTCGAAAAATATTAAAAAAAAAAAAAAAATTACGAAAATATTAAGAATAGTAATTTTCTGAGTGTTATAAAAGAAAAAAAAATTGCGATCAGTAGTTATCAAGATATAGAAACATGAAATTGATAAAGTGAACCGCTTATGGCAACATCGGCAGCTGCCGCTCACTCGGTAATATTATTTTTACTTTTATTCTATATTTTCTTTTCTAATATTTTTTTCAAGTAACTTTTGTTGCCTGTGAGACCAATATAATGCATAATGTATATATATCCACTCATTGTATGCAGCACAATAACCACACAAATATTGTTATTATATTGTTTACAAAACTTGTTTACACAAACCCACCCTGTCTTCACCACCACCCATGCTAGCAGCCTTCCCCACCACCCATGCTGGAAGTAAGTCACTTTAACTTTTTTGGGTTAATGTAGGTAATCTACATATATACTGCTATGATAATCTATACCTGAATAAACTTACACGCCGTCTTCCCAACCACCCATTCTGTCTTCCCCACCCACACTATCTTCCCCACCATCCACACTGCCTTTCCCACCACCCACACTGTCTTCCCCACCACCCACACTGTCTTCCCTTTTCACTATCTGTATCTGGTATTCTGGGCATTGCTTTCGGTCACAAACTCCTCAGAACCATGAAATTCATCTTCACTGACACTTTCACGTGTGTTAGAACTACACTTGAGAAGATAAAGATTCCCAAATTCGCTGGGGAGTGAGGTATTCCTTACCTCTAGGTATTGTGAACAAGGCATACTAAATTGGCACTCCCACAATGCACAGCAGCCTCCCAGATTTTTTCATACTGCACACACTGAGCACACAGACCCATTCCCTCAAATGTAGGCCTACCAGCTTTCTCCCACCAGATCTGAAGCTGCTAGAATTTTGGTGTAGTATTACGGGACCATTACCTTCTATTAACCCTTTCACTGTCAGTCCCATAATATTATGGGACTGACAGTGAAAGGGTTAATAGAAGGTGGCTCCTTCCAAGCAGTAACATACCTCCTCCTCCCCTCCACCTCCTGCTTCCAGTATGATATTAGCTCTCCTCTGACAGGTAAAAGGCACTTAAATTTTCATTTACTGTATAGTATTTTAGTTAAATTTCTTTTACAATTTATTTTTACAGTTTTATTTAGTACATTTATGTATGTACATTTTTAATAAATTATTATATTGTCATTTGGGGTCTGGAATGGATTAATTCTGTTTACATTATTCTTTATGGCAAAAATTGCTTTGGTTATTGTCCATTTTGGTTGTTGAATCGACATTTGGAACAAATTAAGTTTGACAACTGAGGTTCCAACAGAACTAAATAACTAACTACAATCTAAAATCTTCAAAAAAATGAGAAATAAACAAATCTCCTGCCTCATATTCCACAACATAATGAACCCCTGACAGTTTGGGTTTAGGTCAGAAAAAAGCACGAATGATGCAATCGTTCAGATACTCGAATTACTATGTACAGCACTTGAAAAAAAATAATATCCTTTCGGACTCTTCATAGACGTACGTAAATCATTTGAAACAGTAGACCACAATCGCTTGCACCTAAAACTAGAACATTATGGGATCAGAGGACACTCCCTCAATTACCTACAATATTATATTGGTGATAGACACCAGTATGTATACACAATTGGGGTGACATCCACTACTCAGTCAGTAGTTGTTGGAGTGCCACAGGGAAGTGTCCTAGGTCCTTTACTCTGTCTTATTTACATCAATGACCTCCCAAATGCATCTAGACTCCTTAAACCAATTCTATTTGCAGATGACACTACTTAAGTCTTCTCCCACTCAAGCCCAGCTGTACTTAGTGACACTGTAAACAGCGATCTACATAAAATATCAAACTGAATGACGACCAACAAACTCATCCTCCGTATAGATAAAACTTACTTCGTGCATTTTGAAAACAGAGCATAAAATATCCAGCTTAACATATCGATAAATGGTTCCCCCATTACAAGACACTCTGAGGGTAAATTTCTAGGTATCCATCTTGACTGTAATCTTAAATTTTCAGACCAGATTCAGCATATAACTTAAGAAAGTTTCCAGAACAGTAGGCATCCTTTCCGAGATACGATACTATGTACCCCAAATGGCGCTCCTTACTTTATATCACTTTCTAATCTACCCTTCCTCTTCAAGGGGGGGGGGGGCTCCTTGGTGCAGTGTAGAGGCTCTTGGTCTGAGGAATTAGACCTTTTTGTCTCCTTCCTGAGACTGAACCTAATTATCCCCCAGTCCCCCTTCCCTAGCCCATTCTCCCCATACCCCCTTTCCCTTTCCTCCCATCCCTCCCTTTTAAAATAAGAGATAAGTTTTCTTTGTATTTTTAACTCTGGAGGGTTAGCCACCCAGGATAACCCAAGAAAATCAGTGTATCATCGAGGACTGTCTAACTTATTTCCATTGGGGTCCTCAGTCTTGTTCCCCAGGATGCGACCACACCAGTCGACTAACACCCAGGTACCTATTTGCAGCTAGGTGAACAGGACAACAGGTGTAAGGAATCATGTCAAAATGTTTCCACCCTGCTGGGAATCGAACCCGGGCCCTCCGTGTGTGAAGCAAGAGCTTTAGCCACCAGGCCATCGATTTATAGCCTCTGGGGTCCTCCCCTCTGGCATTACAGTTTCAAGGTAGGGGGAAGTGTGCCAAGGTTCATCCTGCTCTGTGGGGTTCCTTGGGTGGGATGGAATTTGCTGTGGAATCAAGCTTTTCCCATACTCCTGTACCTCCTACTGGTGATGCTTTATCACTTGCTCCAGGTGGCAAGGCTCTGCCCATTTCTTCTAGTCACTCCACCTTTTGCACGTCTTTAACTATACATCCAGTTTCCTCAAATATGGTGTGACGGTTTTCAGATTGTCCACCTGCCTCAGGTCGAGCCACCCTCAGTCCTACACCTAAGTGTTCCAGACTATTTGCTGACAATAGCTCTTCAATTTCTGCTCATTCCACCCAGAAACAACCTACATGACACCCACTTCCTTTATGCACCATGTTTACAAGTACACAGTGAACCAAATTCTTTTCCCTACAACCGACATCTCCAATTGATTATCTTTCATGCCACAGTATTGGTAAAGCTCTTTTGCAACACTTTGACCAAATTATATCCTTTCACGCTTCTCAGAGCGGTGCACACATCATTACTTCCATTGATAACGTTCCTGTCCCAGTTCACAAGCACACTACTCTCAATTCTTGTAGTGTTATGGTAGTTTTACTGTGTACCATTGTACAGTGTGATTTTCTGTTTTGCAGTGACAGTGCTTTAGAGCAGTTAGACCTTCAGGACCTTCTGATTCTCAAAGTGTATACATATGTCTTGCCCACTCGCGGGCAGAGGTGCTTTCCCAGTAACATTGCCTGCTTAACCTTTGACTGCTATGAACCCCCATCCTCTGTTTATATTGCAGGACATCGCCGAGGGGTCTGTAAAGTGGTCCCTACACTCCAACAGTGTCGAAGTTGTTGATGCTTCAGACATCCCGCTAAATACTGCAGGTCTGCGGCGGAGGGCCCAGCCTGCGGTGCCATGGATCATGCCGATACCTCTTGCAGTCTTTCCCCCCACTTGTCTTAATTGCAATGAAACTTATCCTTCTCTTTCTTGCTGATGTCAGGTCTAAATGAACATGAAATCTGTTGTCTTATGGAGAGTGAAGGCCTTACTAATGCTATGGCTGTCTCTCGGCTCAACCTTCAGGGGAATCTTCCTCATGTTCCTTATTCTTGAGTAGTTAGGAGACCTCCAACCTTGGTGGTTTCCCCTGTCTACCAGCTCCTCTGGTACCATGTCTTCTGGGGCCACCCCCATCTCTAATTCTTTTGCAATTTTACCTTCTCAAACCCCCCACCTCCTTACTTCTTCCTACTCTTACTTCTTCATCTCGCCCGCTAGTTTCTCAGTCTACGAGGCCTTGCACGCCTGCAACTTTTTCATGCCTATCACCTGTCTTCTAAGCCCAAGTCTCTTTTCACTCCTTCAGTACTTACAATTCCCCAACAGTTCTCCTTTTCAGCCTTGGTGCCTAGTTCTCACCCCCTTTCTAACTCTCACATGAAGTTGGAGGCTCAACACCCCTCGGGTAGTACCCTTCCAGCCTCCTTCCTCTCCTGTTCCACCACAGGATGCCTCTGTCCCAGCTGGCACATCTCTCTAGGTTTATACTCCCCTCCCCTCTCAGACCTCTTTGGTTCCCTCCACAGTCTCCCCAATCTCTACTTGCTCTACCTCACCCGTCTCTGAAGTCATGGTATCGGCATCTTCCTTGTCTGCTGAAACACTTGATGCTATCTCTGACTATATTGCAGAGGCGAAGCCCCCAATGGACACCAGTGTGCCTCCTGATACCCCTTCTTAATTTTTGTAACCCTCGCAGCAATCTTTTCCTTCACAGCATTCTGATTCTTCCTTGCTTACATGCTTTCCATTGCCTCCACGCATTGACTTCACTGACCATATTAGCCCATAGATTTTATTGCTTCTCATTGTTGGCATACCTATCTTTGTGAATAATGACTTATTTACACTGGAATATTTGTGGCCTCAGGGGTAATCTGGGAGAGTTTCAGTTGTTGCTCTCCCAGTTTTCCCCAATATGTATCGGGTTACAAGAGCCTAAAGTTCATTAAGTAGTTATTCGTCCTGTTTTGGTCTATGTGCTGTTGCCTTCTTCTGATCCCTTTCCTGATGGAACTTTAAATGAGAGTGCACTTCTTGTGCATTTTGACATACCATTTTAACAGGTCTTTGTTCATTCTCAGCTGCATTATACTGCAGCCTGTATTTATTTGCACAGGTGGTATACAATTTACTCTTTATATCTCTCCCCTTCCTGTGCATTCTGTATCTTGGATGTTGCGTTCTTGATCTCTGCCGCTCTTGTTAGGTGATTTTAATGCTCATCATCATCTTTGGGGATGGTCCCACTGTGACACTCGTGGTGATCAGTTGGAGACTCTTCTCACTTCTCATCCTCTTCATTTTTTAAATATGGGTGCTCCCACCTATTTTGACTCTTGCACTCAGTCTCTCTCTTGCATGGATCTTTTTATCCATTCCTTATCAGTTGCCCTTGATTAAGCGTGGTCTGTTCTCCTGGATTTGCACAACAGTGATCATTTTCCTATTAGTCTTACTTCTACTACTTATTCCCGCCCTCCTCATAGCCCTTGTTGGCAATTTGGATGAGTGAATTGGAACTTATACTCTCATCTTACCGCTTTTTGTGGGGACCCTTCTTCCTCCTCTATTGATGAGCTGGTGCACCAGTTTTCTACCTTAGTTTTGACTGCAGCGTCACGTTCTGTTCCTCAATCCTCAGGTAGGCATTCTCAGATATGTGTGCTTTGGTGGTCTCCTGCATGTGCCCGTGCAGTGCATTTGAAATGTGCTGCATGGGGCCATTATTGATATAATCGGACCATGGCTCTGGTGGCCTGGTGGTTAACGCTCTCGCTTCACACGGCGAGGGCCTGGGTTCGATTCCCAGCCAGAGTAGAAACATTGGACGTGTTTCTTTCCACCTGTTGTTTATGTTCCCCATCAGTAAAATGGGTACCTGGGTGTTAGTCAACTGGTGTGGGTCGCATCCTGGGACACTGACCTAATTTGCCCGAAATGCGGAGCATAACAAGGGACTTTCTATATAGTAGTATGTCGTTGTTATCAGCTAGGACTGTATACCTTGTACATGTACTTGTAGTAAAATAAAGATATTATTATTATTATTGTTGTTTGGATTTTAAGCGAGAAAGAGCACTCATCGCATCATATGTAATGCTAAATGCATTACATATGATGCGGCGAATGACTGTATTACATATGTGTCACCTTTGGAATTTGTGATCATTTCAGATTCCCTCAGTGTTTTACAGGCCATTAAACAATTTGATTCCCCTTGTCCATTGGTCCTTTGTATTCAGCTTTGGTTGCACCATGTGGCTAGCAAAAACAAAGACATTTTCTGTTGGGTCCCTGGACATGATGTGCAGGGCATTGAGTAGGCAGATGCTGCTGCGCGGTCAGCGGTATGTGATCTTATGGTTTCCTGTAGATGTATTCCATTCAGGGATTGTTTTGCAGTCATCTCTGCCCATCTTTGCAGCCATTGGCAACAACGGTGGTTGGACATGCACCATAACAAGTTGCACTCTATTAAACCACTTTTAGGTTTGTGGCCATCTTCTTACCACCAATTCTGTTCTCAGGAGACTGCCCATCTCTGCATTGGCCATATTCACCTTGCTCATAGGTATGTCATGGAACGACACCTTGTTCCTCTCTGTGAGGTTTGTCGGGTCCCTATTTCAGTTCTTCACTTTCTTGTGGATTGTCCAGTTTACCAGCAAGCCCACAGGATTTCCTTCACTCACACTGCCGCCCTACTGCTCCTACCTTATCTTCCTTTCTTGCAGATGGCCCTGCCTTTGAGTTAAAATCATTTTTTTACTTTTTGTCAGCAGCTGCTTTACAAACTTTGACGCACAGCCTCTAGTATGTCTTCCAGCCCTTTTCTCCCCTCACCTCTGATCCCCTCTCCATCTAGCTGTTCATAGCCCTGGCACTATTTTCTACCCTGCAGCACTGCATGACCCTTGTCAGTTTAGTGCTTTATTTGGTTATAATAATAATAGTCCTGGAGCAAAGGGGCATGTCCTATGAGGAGAGGTTAAGGGAAATCGACCTGATGACACTGGAGGACAGGAGAGAGAGGGGGGATATGATAATGACATAAAAAATACTGAGAGGAATCGACAAGGTGGACACAAACAGGATGTTCCAATGATGGAGCACAGCAACAAGGGGTCACAATTGGAAGTTGAAGACTCAGATGAATCACACGATATTAGGAAGTATTTCTTCAATCACAGAGTTGTCAGGAAGTGGAATAGTCTGGGAAGTGATGCAGTGGAGGCAGGTTCCATACATAGCTTTAAGAAGAAGTATGATAAAGCTCATGGAGCAGGAAGAGTGACCTAGTAAAAACCAGTGAAGAGGCAGGGCCAGGAGCTGTGAATCAACTTCTACAATCACAACTAGGCAAGTACATCTAGGTGAGTACATCCAATCTCTACACGTCTTTGACCTCTTCAAGGGGGGCCCCATAGCGTGGTGAAGAGGCTCTTGGTCTGAGGAATTAGACCTTTTGGTCTCCTTCCTCAGACTGAACCTAATTACCCCCAATCCCCCCTACCCTATCCCATCCTCCCTTTTTCCCTTTCCTCCCCATCCCTCCCCATCCATCCCCTATTCCCTTCCTCTTTTCGACCTGTGGCATTCTTCCCACAGGCAATCTAGTTCCTACGTAGGGGGAAGGATACCAGGGTCCATCTCATTCCGTCGAGGTTCTTGGTAGTGGTATAGTTTGCCGTGGAATCTGGATAACCTGGGGATGTCCCGATCTCTCTCCGGTCTCCCGGGGGGGGGGTGGATTTGGGTGTCTTTCAGGTGACGGGTGTATCTCTGGAGGCTGCCTGTTGGATTCCAGGGGGTGGTAGCCAAAGGAGGTATGCTTTGTGGTGGGTGTCCTGCCACCCCTCTCTTTTGTCCACTGAGGTGGCTCGGTAGATGTGAGGTTGCTATTCTGGATTGCTGGTTTACTTGCATGAAGGGTAGTGTATGGCACAGGTTCCATGCTGCATCTGCACTACTTGTGGTGTTGAAGTCCTCTTGGACACGGAGGGGGATTTACAGCCCTTTTTTGCCTCCTAGGAGCTATTCCTCCATGTTCCCTCCCCTTTTTTTTTTCTTCCATTCTTTCTTTTTTTTTTTTTCTAAAAAGTAAACATAAAGAAGTGATCTAACCATGGAGTGCCCAATCCATGAACCTGCTCCCCCTGGGCCCCTTGTTGATACTGCACCCCACTCTGACCCTGCCTTGTTTTATGACCACTCTTCGGACACTTCTAAAGCCCCTGTACCTCTTGCTGGTGCTGTTTCATCACCAGCTTCAGGTACCAGGGTCTTGACTGACTCCTTTGATACATCTGACCTCCACTCTTCTTTGACTATTCTTCTGGCCTCTCCCTCTATGGTGCAGCAATTTTCGAATCACCAGCTTGTCCCACGTTGGACCAATTCCGGTCCCACTCCTAAACGCCCACGACAGTTGCTTGATGCTACTTCTTCACTTCCTTCTCATTCTACTCAGAAAAGCCTGACATGTCATGCACTCCCTTTCCATGTCCAGTTTCAGAAAGCACAATGGACTAAATTTTTTACTTTATGACCTACTTCCTCTACTATCTATCTTTCCAACCTTAGTATTGGCAAGGCACTCCTACACCATGTTGGTAAAGATATAGCCTTTCACGCTCTCAAGAGTGGTACACGCATCATCACTGTCCAGAATGCTGAGCAAGCTCATGACCTTTCTCTTCTTTCAAATATCGATATTATTCCTGTCGCTATCGCAAAACATCATTCCCTCAATTCTTGTAGTGGCACTGTCATTCTGCCCCATACCATTGTCCAACAGAATTTCCAGACATGTGGCAATAACATTCTAGAACAGCTGGAACCCCAAGACCTCCCAATCCTCAAAGTAGACACTTATGTCCTTCCTGCCTGTGGGCAGAGATGATACCTTTGTAATGTAGCTCGAGTAACTTTCGATTCCCATGAACTCCCATCCTCTGTTTATATAGCAGGACATCATTTACAAGTTTGAAAGGTGATTCCTACACCACAACAGTGTAGAAATTGCTGGTGTTTTGGTCATCAAGCGAAATATTGCAGGTCTGTAGTCGAATGCCCAGTCTGTGGTGTCGATGGCCATTCCAGTACATCTTACAGTCAACCTCGGCTCACCCATCTTACTCTCGCTGTTGCCAAGTTTACTTAAATGAGCAAGAAATCCATTGCCTCAGAGGCAGGTTTCCCTTATGCTATAGCAGTTTCTCATCTATGCCTCCAAAAGAGACTACCCCCGTATTTCTTATTCTCGTGTTTCTAAACATCTCCCCACCTCTGGGGTCAAGAGGATTGGAAATGAGAGGAGTGTAGGTACTTGAGTCAGAGAGCAAGACATCAGCTTGATCGCATCAAGAGAACTTTTAACAAAAAACTAAGGACTCTCTCCGACCTCTGTCCTCCTAACTTTGACCTTTTTCAATGTTTTCTTGTCATCTGTCCCTCTCTGCCCTATTTCTATGGCCTTCCCAAAACCCATAAGCCTGATATTCCCCTACATCCTATCATATCCTCTAGAGGTTCTGTTTCTTATTCTCTTGCTTCTTGGCTGGCCAAAACCCTCACTCCCTTTCTTGGTACTTTTTCTCCTGCCTGCCTTCGTCACTCTCAGGACTTCATTGAACGGGTTCGCTCTCTCTCGACCTGTAAGATGCTTAGTCTTGATGTTGAGTCCCTCTTCACCAATGTCCCTCTTGATGATATCCTTCATTTTCTTAGAGAGAAGGCCAATGAAGGGTTTCTTCATCTCGCTATACCTATTGATGTCTTGATCTTATCTGCCTCTGTGTGGACTCTGATTCCTTTTCCTTCCAAGGCAAATATTATTCTCAAACCTTCAGTGTGGCTATGGGCTCTCCTCTCTCTCCTGTCCTTGCTAATTTTTACATGGAATACTTCGAGACTGTTCTTCTTCCTACTATCGATGTGTGCCCTTCACTCTGGCTCTGCTATGTTGATGACATCTTTGCTCTGTGGTGTCATGACTCTTGTCTCTTCCAACCATTTCTTGATGCTCTTAATAATCTTGCCCCTTCCATTAAGTTTAAAGCTGAATGGGAATCTAACTTCTTGCTTCATTTTCTTGATGTTCATGTCCACCGCTCAGATACAGGTTTTGCCTTTTCCGTTTACCGCAAGCCTATGCACAGTGGCATGTACATTTACTACTTTTCTTAACATGCTTCCTCTGTCAAGAAAAGTGTTCTTATCTTCCTGTTTCTCCATGCTCTCTGCATATGTGATCCTCAGTTCCTTCAATCTGAAATTTCCACTCTTCATAATTCATTTTCCCATCTTGGCTACCCTTCCCATTTCATTGATTCTGCCTTCTCACATGCTAAACGTAGTTTATTCTCTCCCAAACTCTCTACTCCTGGGAACTCTTCTGTCCTCTGCCTTCCCTACATTTCTGGTCTTTCTAATCTCAACAACTCTCTCCATTTCTTAGACATCAAACTTACTTTCCACCAGACTAACACTTCAAACTAATCTCGTTCATACCTCTCCTTCCTCTACAGATGCTCCTGGTGTCTACTCTATTTCTTGTTCATCCTGTCCTCTTCAATACTTTGGAGAAACTGGTCGATCTCTTTCTGACAGGCTAAGGGAGCACAAAAATAGTGATAGGCTTGCCGACACTAACAGTGCTCTTTTCTGTCACGTCAGAGATCACAGCCATCCTATTGACTGGTCTTCTGCTAAAACTGTCTTCCCTACTTCCAACTTTAACAGTCGCCGTCTGGTTGAATCCTCCCTAATATACAATTTTCCTTGTGTGAATCTTAGTCCTGGCTTTGTCTCTGTAGATGCCTTCCTCTCCCACTACATTGTAAAATGCTCCAAACTTCAGAACACTCGTGACCTAACCTGATTCCTCCTTCTTCTTCTTCTCCCTCTTCCTCTTTTCCTCTTTCCTTTTTCTCCTTTGGGTTGTCTTTCTTCTTCCCTGTGTATTTGTTCCTTTTATTTATTTGTTCCCCCCCCCCTTGGTGTTCTTGCTCTTACCCTCTGTGGGCACCTAACTCCCTTGCAGTGCTCCTCTTTCTTAGTATTTGACTGGTTTAATATCTTTATTATGCACCCCATACCCATCCTGTGGGCAGTAGTCAAAAGATTACAAAGGTACATAATGGGTCCAGTGACTGGACCCCAAAGTTATGATAGCTGAACTAGTTACAAAGGTAATGAACTCCAGGTAGATCTGGTTACAATCATGGCAAGTTACAAAGGTAATGAATCAGCCTCATTCCTATACATGGTTACAGTCATGAACAAATTACAAAGTAATGAACCACTGATACGTCCACACCTGGTCACAACTGTAATGAGTTATAAATACAAATATTAAGTGGGTCATACACCCACACACACGCACGCACACACGCACGCACGCACGCACGCACGTACACACACACACACACACACACTCACACACACACACACACACACACACACACACACACACACACACACACACACACACACACACACACACACACACACACACACACACACACATAGTTTTAAGGCGAGGTATGATAGAGCTCATGGGGCAGGGAGAGAGAGGACCTAGTAGCAATCAGCGAAGAGGCGGGGCCAGGAGCTGTGACTCGACCCCTGCAACCACAAATAGGTGAGTACACACACACACACACACACACACACACACACACACACACACACACACACACACACACACACACACACACACACACACACACACACACACACACACAACAAGACTAGTCCCAGAGCTACGGGGATTGTCCTACGAAGAAAGGTTGAGGGAAATCGGCCTGATGACACTGGAGGACAGGAGGGTCAGGGGAGACATGATAACGACATATAAAATACTGCGCGGGATAGACAAGGTGGACAAAGACGGGATGTTCCAGAGATGGGACACAGACACAAGAGGTCACAATTGGAAGTTGAAGACTCAGATGAATCAAAGGGATGTTAGGAAGTATTTCTTCAGTCATAGAGTAGTCAGGCAGTGGAATAGCCTAGAAAGTGACGTAGTGGAGGCGGGAACCATACATAGTCTTAATTAAGGTGAGGTATGATAAAGCTCATGGGGCAGGGAGAGAGAAGACCTAGTAGCAATCAGCGAAGAGGTGGGGCCAGGAGCTATGACTCGACCCCTGCAACCACAAATAGGTAAGTACACACACACACACACACACACACACATGGTAATGCATTATTTACAGCTAGCAAAGTCAGGGTATTTCTCCAAAATGGTCTGTAATATACCACTGTGGATAAAATACTTTGCCATTTCTTGACCATTTCTGAGTGAGTTGTTTCTAAATTCATTAATCTGATCACACTCCAGTACATAATGACGCAGGGTGTGACAATAGTCCATCTGGCAAAGTTTACATTTCGTTTGGTCTACATCTGGTGGTGGTGATTTAACCTGCCATAGATACTTATGACCCAGCCGGAGCCGGGCAGTAGTGACATCCAAGAGTCTGCTTATTTTGTTGGATGCACCATAGACATGTGGCTCCTCCTGCATGATAGAGTGATGATAGATGGACTGACTTGTGTCAGTCTCCCTAAGTTTTAAGTCCTTGTGGCTTAGCGCTTCTTTTTTATTATAATAATAATTTAAGTCAATAAAGTTCATTTGAAGTTCTTTTCATATTATTGTTCTCAAACTGCTAACTGATAACCCAAGATTGTAATCTACCCCCTCTTTGAAAGCATACAGCTTAGCCAATTTATCAGTTCTATCATGCATCTGAAGACCAATGTGAGATGGAATCCACAGCATGTGCACTCTGACTATTTGACTGGCCCCTCCTACTCTTACCACCTCCCCACTACTACTTCGTTTCACCTCCACTACTACCACTACTACTACCACCTCCTGCCTATATATACCCATCCTGCTCTCCTTTTCATTAGTGTGACTTTGTAAATGGTCCAAGTCGGACCGAAACATTGTTGTAAGCTCCTCCCTTTTATGTGTGGGTTATTTGTGTATTGTTCCAGTCACTTTATTGTGTCTTTTTGTTATTTATGTATCAATAATACTTGGACAAGGGATGAACATGGGGAATATATAATAGCTAAATTCAAATCCAAATACCTACAAAAACCTCTCACAGCAATAAACATCTACAGAGTACCACAGTCAAACATTAGCCGTTTTAGTGAAAACCTAGGAAGTATGATAACTGATGCACACATGAATAAAGATCACTTACTACTCTCAGGAGACTTCATTATAAATCTCCTGCAAGATCAGGACTGACATGTAACTGAATTCACAAACACTGAGTAACTGCTTGTTGCTACCAACAGAAACAAAACCTACAAGTATTACAGAGACTAGTGTTTCCCTATTAGACCACATCTGGACCAACACCATATCCCCTTGAAAATCAGGCATAATCACAGATAATACCACAGATCACTACCCTACCTTTCTCATAATCAATCTAGGTAACTACCCTACCTTTCTCATTATCAATCTAGGTAAATTACCCCAAGACACTACTAAAGTAACCTTCAGGCTTCATAATGAGGCAGCCATTAATAACTTCACAACAGCAATGACAAACATCGACCAGCAAACTGAGCTAGAAATCTATACAGATACTGACGAATGTATTAATAATTTTCTAAAAAAGATCCTATACCTCTATAACAAGCACTGCCCTAAAAAAAAAACTAAACAAATCACAGCTAAGAGACTGAACAGTCCCTGGCTAACACCCAGCATCCTCAAATCCATAAATATAAAGCACTAGTATGAAAAACAGTACAGAATGGGTCATATAACCAGAGACCAAACAAAACGTTACTTGTCTATCCTAACCAGCCTGATAAGGGTACAAAAAATTGTATTATGAGAAAAGATTATCCAACTTAAAAGACCTGGAAAACCCTATCAGAAATTCTAGGAACAAAAAAGATATCAGGAAACAGAACAATCACACTAACAAAACCAGATGAACCCTTACTCCCACCAACTGAAACAGCAGACTCGATGCTTTCTTCTTCACCATAGGAAAAAACCTTGTGGATAAAATCCCAAGCTCAAACACCCCACCTAATGACTACCTCACTGGCACCTACCCGAATACACTGTTCCTAGCTCCAACCAACCCAACAGAAGTCTCACTTATTATCAACACACTATAGAACAAGGCAGGAGATTTAAATAACTTACCACCCTTTATGTACAAAAAAAAGTTTCATAAGTGCTGTCACCAGTTGTTGCAACACTCTTTAACAAATCCATCGAATCTTCTACCTTCCCTACAGTTCTCAAAATTGAGAGGGTCACCCCGATACATAAAGGTGGAGATCAAGCAGACTTGAATAACTATAGGCCAATATCCAACTTACCCCTTCTCGCTAAAATCTTTGAAAAGTTAATTCATAAGCGAATTTATTCCTATCTCATCTCCCACAACATACTCAACCCCTGTCAGTTTGGGTTCAGGCCTAATAAAAATACAAATGATGCTACATACATGCTAGAACAAATGTATACACTGCACTCGAGAAAAAAGAAGTCCCATTGGGGATCTTCATTGATTTACATAAAGCTTTTGATATAGTTGACTATGATTTGCTGCACATAAAATTATCACACTATGGTATAAGAGGGCACTCCCTCAACTACCTAAAGTCATACCTTAGCAACAGAAGCCAATATGTGTACACAAATGGAGCAAACTCTTCCGCACAGCCAATTACAGTTGGTGTCCCACAGGAAAGTGTCCTTGGCCTCTTCTCTTTCTCATTTACATAAACGACCTACCAAATGCATTGTAACTACTCAAACCCACACTACTTGCAGATGACACTACATACGTCTTCTCTCACCCAAGCCCAGTCATACTAGCCAATACTGTAAATACCGAATTACAGAAAATATCTACCTGGATGATGATGAACAAATTTACTCCCAATATTGACAAAACCTACTACATTCAGTTTGGGAACAGAACTACAGATGCTCCTCTTAACGTAATGATAAACGGATCACCTATCACATAGCTAACAGAAGGAAAATTCTTAGGAATCCACCTTGATAGTAGACTCAAATTTCAAACACATGTACAACAAATTTCCAAGAAAATCTCTTAAGACCGTAGGCATACTATCGAATATACGGTACTATGTTCCACAGTCGGCCCTCCTGGCCCTATATCACTCACTCATTTACCCCTATCTCACCTATGGAATTTGTGCATGGGGCTCAACAACAATAAATCATCTCAGACCATTAATTACCCAACAAAAGGCTGCAGTCAGAATGATAACAAATTCCCACTCCAGGCAGCATACTCCACCAATATTGAAAACTCTAAACTTACTCACCATACAAAACATCCATACTTATTATTGTGTCTACTACATACATAGAACACTAAACTCAGATATAAACCCTCCCCTCAAACTTCTCCTTACCAACCTCAACAGAACACATGACCATAACACAAGGCACAGATCACTCTTTGATGTTCCTCGTGTCTATCTCACACTATGTAAAAACTCAATTCACTTAAAAGGCCCAAAAATCTGGAATTCATTACCTGTGAATATAAAAGAAATACTGTCTGATTATCAATTCAAGACTCTTCTTAAAAACTGCTTACTCAACCACAACTAAATAAATACTAAATAACTGAATCTCATAAATGTATAACTATAACCTGTGGTGACTCTATCAAACTATGTTTTTTTTTTTATTACATTACCTAATAGAATACCCCATTCTCTTGAATGCACAGTAACTCATCTAATGACCATATAACCTGTTTCTGCACTACAAATCATTGATTTTACTCAATCTGATTCGATTACATTATACATAGTTATGCTACAAATTTGTACAACTTTAATGCTTCTTATTTGAAATACTCATTTGTACTTCATGTTGTATTTTGTTTACTATAATTTTTACCACTGAATATATCATTGCTTAGTTAATCTTAAGTTAATTTTAAGCCTGCACATAATGCTCTGCATACAAGGGGCTTTGGCATGTACACCCAATCACTATATTTCTTTGTACAACTATGTATCATGTCCAAATAAAAAATAAATAATAAGTACAACGTCTTTGACTTCCAAAACACTCGAAGCTATCTCAGAATATATTGAAGAGACTAGACCATCAATGGACACTGATCCACCTTCTGTTCCTCCTCTTTCTTCTCCATCTGTGTAACTCCTATCTTCGCATTGTCCCATTCCTTCACTGCTTGAATGTTTTCCGCTGCCACCACACATGGACTCTTCTAACCCCTCTAATCCATAGGTACCTTTACCTGCAGATTTCTTGTATCTTTCTCATTACCAACCATGGCCTATAACAGTGGAATATCCGTGCCCTCAGAGGTAATCGGGGTGAGCTTCAGATGTTGCTGTCCTGGTTTTCCCCTGTTGGTGTTTGCTTACAAGAACCAAAATTACACTCCGCTGTTGTCCATCCCATCTCAGGCTATGATTTATTGTATTTGGATCCTTTTTCTGATGGAGCCTTTAACGAAAGTGCCCTTCTTATACGCACTGATATTCTGTACTGTCAGCTATTTGTTCATACATTGTTGCATTACACTGCAGCCCATATCCACTTGAATAAGTGGTATACAATCTGTTCTTTATATCTCTCTCCTTCTTGGGCATTATCTATCCGGGATGAAAATATGAACACATATGCAGTATAATGTGATTCTTTATTGACAATGTTTTGCCCACACAGTGGGCATTATCAAGTCACAAACAGATACACCTGGGTGAAACATACGTGAGTATTTATAGGATGAGAATGCAGGGTCAGGTGGAGAAAGCTGTATGTGACAGTCTACCAAGTAGATAGTCTAAAAACTTTGGTAGCTTTTAAAAGGGATTGTATAAGTATATAAGTAGACCTTCTGCAGTGTTCCTCGATTCTTATGTTCTTATGTGGGATAGCAATGAAGAAGCTTCTTGGCAAGAAGTTCAGCTATGTTATTGAAGCCATTGTTCTGGTTGAAGTTGTTGGGTGTACAGATAAGTGATGATTCCAAGATTCTTCGGTATTGAGTGTTGTCTTCTCTGGCGATGAGTCTTGCGGATGTTGCCTTTCTTGTTTCATCCTTACCTTACTTGGCGATTTTAATGCCCACCATTTCCTCTGGGGGTCTCACTGTGACTCCCGTGGCATTCAGTTAGAGGCTTTTCTCGCTTCTCACCCCCACCATGTTTTAAATATGGGTACTCCCACCCATTTTGATCCTCATACTCATACTCTTTCTTGCATCGATCTCTCGGTCTGCTCTTCCTCCACTGCACTAGACTTCACCTGGTCTGTCCTTCCAGACTTGCATGACGGATATCATTTTCAAATCATTCTTACTTCTCCTTCATATTCACCACCTCTTCGTAGCCAATGCTGGCAATTTGATCGAGGAAATTGGGACCTTTACTCGCAACTAACTACTTTTAGTGAGGTTCCTTCTTCGTCTTCCATTGATGAGCTTTTACACCTCTTCTCAACCTTAGTTTTAACCACAGCTTCTCATTCTGTACCCCAAACCTCGGGCAGGCATTCTCAGAAGTGCAGAAGTGCATGCCTTGGTGGTTTCCTGCTTGTGTTCAGGCAGTACGTTTGAAATGCACTGCATGGGGCAGGTACCAGTACAATAGAACCACAGAGAGACTTCTTGATTTTAAGCAGAAGCGAGTGATCACTCACCGTGTCATCCATGATGCTAAACGCACTTGGTGGGGCAAGATGTTTCCACCATTACCTCTGCTTCCTCTATGAGTGCAGTCTGGAAAAAGTAAGGAAACTGAGTGGTAAATACTACTCTCCCAACCTGGCTCCTGTTCTGCGGGTTGCCGGTGTTGATATAGCAAACCCTCTTGACATTGCCATTGAAATTGGTAAGCATCTGGTCCATATTTCTCAGGGGCTCCATTTATGGCCCTCGTCTCTTTCCTCAAAGTCTGCCAGAGAGTTAGCGCCCTTAGATTTTTCTTCTCTCAAAAAAGAATCATAATGTGCCTTTTACACTTCTGAAACTGGAGGCAACACTCTCAGCTTGCTGATCACTGGCAGCTGGGCTTGACGGCATTCATAATCGGATGTTACAACATTTACATCGGTCAGCTAGTGCAGTCCCTTTACAACTCCTTAATCTTATTTGGTCACAAGGAGTTCTTCCCCAGCCGTGGAAATCCATCATTGTCCTCCTTTTCCACAAACTGGGTACTACGGGATATGATGCATCCCACTATCACTTCATTGCTCTTACCAGTTCAGTTTGCATGGTGATGGAATGTCTGGTAAATTGACGTTTAATGTGGCATTTAGAGATACACAACAGCCTCTCCATTAGTCAATATTCCTTTCGTAAGGGCCATTCTACCATTGACTTCCTACTGCGCTTGGATATGTATGTTCATAATGCCTTTGCGAATAACCACTCAGTTATTGCCATATTTTATGACCTTGAGAAGGCATATGACACAACTTGGAAGTATAATATTTTGGCTCAAGCCCACTCCATAGGCCTCCGAGGCAATCTACCATCCGTCCTTAAGAACTTCTTAACTGACGGTGTGAAGGCTTACTCAGCCCTGTAACAACTTCCGACAGTATTACCAAGGCTGGCTCCTTCTCAGGAAAAATAATGAATAGAAAAAAAAATAATTCACAAAGATAAATACTTTATTATTTAGTAATGCAAAGATAAAACATTGAAACATGAATGCGTATCCTAATTTAGAGAAAAATGAAAAATGAAATGGAAAAACGACATTTGAATTCAACCCTAATATGTACAGTTATACTGGGGTGTCTGGTTGAGGTAGACACCGTCTTGTAGAAATTGTAGCCATTGCTGATGATGTGGGGGGGGAGGGTCACAGGTGTTGGTGACAACCCAATGACTAGTTCTTCACAGAGTCTATAGCCTTGAATAGTCAGTCCAGATGACAGGAACGCAGGTTCTTTACCACTCCGAATATGAGGGGTAGTTGCCTGCAGTTTACTGCAAGTAATCAGGCAGGTAGATAAAAAAGTGACGTCTCAGGACTTCAGTCCATCTCCTTCAACACTTTTCTTTGGTTGGCAGATGACCCTAGCTGTCATTCCAAGCTGGAAAGAGACAAAGGTTACACACTGCTTAAGAAATGATTCTCCATGATACGTACAATATTTAATAGACATGGTGATTATCTAAAAGTATAATAGGGTAATCAAAGCTGAAATTACTAAGTTTATTATTGGTCAAAAGTGAAGCTTTCAACCAATATATCCACTAGAATAAGAGCAGAGGTTTTTACTTACAGTTGTGCTGGGAGCTGCGAGTCGAGTGATTACTGTTTGGCCGGAGCCCCACATATCACCTTTCAGGGTGGAGAAAAGGGGGGGAGGGGATAGCGGGAGCTAGACTGACCCTACCTTAGCAAGCAAGTATATGCGGACGATATTTTGATTGCCGGCTGCTTGTTAAGGTAGGGTCAGTCTAGCTCCCGCCATCCCCTCCCCCCCCCTTTTCTCCACCCCGAAAGGTGACATGTGGGGCTATGGCCAAACAGTAATCACTCGACTCGTAGCTCCCAGCACAACTGTAAGTAAAAGCCTCTGCTCTTATTGTTATTGCTGCATAGTGTATAGTGTCAGCGTGTCAGCGTGCCTCGTTGTGCTCCGGGTTTTCTCGTGCTTTCACGGTCACTCTTACGTGCTAGAACTTCAATTTGTGCCATCAATCCTATACGATACATCCCTCTAGCGCCTGGAACCAATCTCGGGCGGAAAACATTATATACTGAGTCAAAAAAGGAGAATTAGTGTGCACTACCTAGCAGAGTTTACTGCCAGAGGGGAATCATAGGCCTAGTGTGCCGTGTGCAAAATAATAATAATAGAACTTTTCTTTGTCAAAGGAAAGAAAGTCTCCCTGATAACATTGTGTATACACAGTGTATAGTGTATACTGCAGTGGCTCCCTAGTATATAGATGATAAAGGCTAAAGTGTCATTTGAAAACAGGTGAATTTGTAAATGAAGTGATAAGCCTATAGAGGCAGGTGCCAGAAGTTGCCAGAAACTTACCACAGAGGTCAGCTGTTTTAATAATCTTTCTGGCTTGCTAGTGTACTCACATATAATCTAGTGATACCAGTGAATAGCAGAATACAGTGTTGTAGTAGCAACTAACCAGTATTATAATGGTACTTAGTGGAGTGGAGTGACTTTCATTAGTTTCTTTTTTCTTGAAATACCAGACATATACTGTGAATTTCATATAACCTGTAGTTACCAGCGGTCGCAATATACACAATGGGAAGCAATTATTACTACAGAAAAAGCGTCCTTCCTCCAAAATTTCCACCAGTCAACTATAGTGATAATATAGCATTTATTGTGGTGGAGACGGAAAAAACCTAGAAAAGCTAGATACAGCGATTGATAAACAAGGGTTGAGGCTCGACCGTTCGTCATTGTAGGAGTTGCCAGCAATCACCGGTTCTTCAACACACAAGTTATACTTTTGTATCAATCAAATCACATATTACTCGGGTAGATAATTTCCAGTAGATCCTTCATGTGTTAGCCCAAATCACCGACCAGTATGTTTTAAATAAGTGACCCACTGATCAGATCAGACTGGTCTGAACCCTTGACTGGTTTCAAACAGATTCGTTGGACAATAAAGCGGACTGTAAACGGATGGGGTTGTAGGCGCCCTTATCAAACACAAACAATAAATATAAAACAGGAGCATACTCCGGTAAGCTGTCCTAATATACAAGTACAGTTAGAAATAGAAATACAAATAGCTAGAGCTTCATTTAAGGAGGTTATTAATAGAGTATTCAAGAGGTTGCTAGTAGAATTACAGTAAATCAACCATTCAAATCATTATGAAGCTCTGTGTAGTCTGCAATCAATCAAACAAACGGGCTTCCACATGGATAAATTGTCATATTTGTGGAAACTGGTGTCACGCCCCTTGTGCAGATATCCAAGAACTAGCTACAAGCAGTATTAAAACAGGGAAGTGTTTTTGGGTATGCCCAAATGAGATAAATCTGTGGACTAAAATCACAAGGGTATTAAAAG